GTTCGCTATAAAATTATGCGCGTTGCACCGGCCAAATTGGATTTAATAGTGTTATATGTACAGTTATATCTGTGTATATACTTATGCATAAATGTGTGTACACATATTTATTATTATTTTTTTTTTATATTTTTTTTTTATTTTTTTTAAGCAGAGTTCTATCTTAAAATCCATTTATAATATTAAAACACATATGTACATATGTATACACACTCATACAAACACATACACCGGCACTTCGCCACGCGCTCATTAATCTGTCGGCTCGTAAAATTCATTTTATGCTTATATGAAATTATTATTCTTCATAAAATTAAAATTATGGCTTCATCTCGCCAATTTGACACAAAATGCTATGGCGTCTATGGCTGTAAAAGCAGCTGCATGCACACACACATGCACACGCATACAAATAACTATAAGCATTAATACCAATTCTCCGAAGACCTAATCATAAAGTCATAAAGCGTTATGTAAATAAATACATTGCATATTAATCGGCGCTTTAAGCTTTCTAACGAAACTTAGAAAGGGAAGAAGAAGCAGCAGCAGCCACCACCGCCGTAGCCTCAACGTCGGAGGAAATAAAAATTAACTAATTCTTAATCTAAAATTTTAAATCGAAATTATTTAATTTATATGTAAATGCATATGCATAGTACATATGTACATGTATGTAATCTCAAACACACATATATGCATGTATGTGTGTGTGTGTGTGCCTATGTCTATTTATATGCCTATAAGTAAACTTAATCCGCACATTTATATGCGTCAAAGCGTGGCGAATCGGCATTACCTGTTCTATTTGTCTGCTTATGCATATGAAACTCTAAAAACTCTAAAAACAACCAACGACATAGGTACTTTTTATTGAATAGTTTTTTCGGTAATTTATGGAATTGATCTCTATCGTCGAACGCACACACATATTGATACAAATAATAATACAATAATACCCGTAATAATAAAAACAAGCGCAACAACAATACAAATGTTATTAAAAACAATATTAACTAAAAGACAAAAAAAAACATTGCACCGAAAATCACAAATTAAAATATTTTCATAGAAGAACTTGATTTCGATCGCTCATTTTGTATGACAGCTATGTATATGCTATAGTAGTTCGATGTTAGCGTTTCGACAAATGAGCAGCTTCTTGGGATCTTTGTTGACATTTTTTGAGAAAAATGTGTGTACTAATCTAATAATGAATTTTGAGTTTTGAAAAATACAGAAACTTCAAATTTAATGAGTAATGTTTATTATCATTTGAAGATACTTTCTGTGTCATTTATTTTTTGAAGATTATCTCTTTCAAATGTTGGCCGGGGCTACATCGATGACACGCTCGAGCATTTCGACTGGTAACTGTCGAATGATACGCGTGATGTTTGTCTCCAAGAACTAAATCGCAGGGGGATTGTCTGCGAAGACTTTAGACCTTCCATTTCAGTGCTTAACTTTAGACATCCAATAGTCGGTTATCGTGGCGCTATAATGATCGCCATCGACGATTACGTTCTCACCGGCATCATTTTAGAAGAAATATGGACCGCTGATTCCACAGGTCCACAAACCACACTAAACCTTTGATTTTTCTGGATGAAATGGCAGCTCTTGACTCTCTTCAGGTTGCACTTTTTCCCAAACGCGGAAACTTTGCTTGTTTACATACCCATTCAGCCAGAAATATGCCAAATCGCTGAACAAAATTTTACTATAAGTTAAATATCGGATCTTCTTTGAACTTTTCAAGAGAGCATGTAGCGAAGCGATGTCGCTTCGGTAGGTCGAGCAATTTCAGTTATTGCTCAATACTGGAATACTGGGTCTCAAGATAGGTGCCGGTGTTGCGAAAATTACACTTAGTACCTTTACTTGGCTCACCCGTTATTGTCTCGATTAAAATTCTATTGAATCTCCCTTCTTAGTACAATTTAAAAAAAAGTGGAAATACTGATGCTTAGTGTAAGTCACACCTACTTGCACCTATGCATAATTTAGACACATTGCGATTAGTGAACAATAGTAGCTTTGCAAAGTCTAAAGGAAAGCAGCACAGTTGGGCGGTTGAAAGCGAGACATATCGATTTTCTGAAACAATTCAAAACAAATTTAAAGAAATCATGCTATGATATATCCGCTTAAGGTTGGAATTCAATAGTTACTCTGCTGAGAATACCCTCTAGACGTGAGTGGAAAAGAGGCTTGATAAAGGTTGAGCAATATCTCAATTCATAACGACGGGTCCAAAATGAACTGCTGAGTATGGACAACGGTACACGCCAAGCATCTTTACACCACTCTTTATCCCTCCACCAAACTCAGCAAATATCTTCCACGCGGCAGCACTAGACAAAGAGTAGTTTTGCCAAGCTCTATTGATAAATAAATGAAGATTGCACTGCGTCCCATAAATATATTGAATAACTAAGGAAGAATACAGAAAGCAACCATATATACAGATAGCCAGTAATTAACAATTACAGGAAGGCTTTAAGTTCACTGGCAGGTCAAGTCCACTTGTGTCAAAAGCACATTTTCAGCAACAAAGGAGTCAGGAGAAAATATTTCTTTTTAAAGAGAAAATCTACAGGTGAAGCAAAACGTTGGCTTGATGATGAGTTGCCGGACACTACTCCAGGAAAATCAACCAACAGGATTGGTATGCTAAGTTTAGACGTGATGAAATGAACAACTAAGACGATGAACGCCCAAAAGAGGTTGCTACCGACGGACACATAAAAAATTCCACAAAAGTGCTTGATTTTGGGCTTTGAATTGCTTCCTCGTCTACCTTTTTCTAGAGTTCTGACCCTCGGCTATTATTTCCAGTTCTTAGATTTCAAAAGGATGCTCGCAGCGAAGAAATTTTCATCGAATGCAGATGTGATCGCCGAAGCTGAGCATTTCGCATGAAATCCTTTCGAGGTGGTATAAGGGTCACCACAAAAGGAAGCAGAAGAGTAAACAGGAATATTATTTGCAAATGCGAAGCTTGAAACAATCCACAGAGGTTTTACTTGCTATCGACAGGTATCCATCGAACTCCTCTGCAAAAACTTATAAACGATATGGCTATATTTTAAAAGGAGTACGGGTATTGAAGAACCATTCGTTCGCCGTTCCTTCAACTTGCTCAAGTGGTAATCGTCATATTTGTGCAGTACTCTTGTTGACTTAGCCAAAACCAGTGTACATTTTTTTCTTAGACTCCACTTTTTGCCACATCTTAAAGCTCTCGCACATAGCAAGAATCTAATTAATCAGATTATATTGTGGTTATTTTTATTATTTTTTTATTTTATTTTATTTTATTTTTATTTTCTTTTCTTATAAAAAATTCTAGCTAAAACTCTCTGCAGCGCATTTACCTTTTTATCAATTTTATTTATACCGCTTGCAATCCGCTCTGTTGTTATACTTTGTCAGCCAATGATTTCAATCACACGAACATTTTCTGTTTGACATATTTTCATAAGAGCTTTTAATTATCTCTTAATTAAAAAGATAAATCTCTTAATTAAAGTTATGCTCTGTAAAGTTGCGCTGCTTGTACCAGAGAAATAATAAGATAAACTTAATCGAATGCAAAGAGACGCCAGACAAGATTTGCATATTTCTTAAGCGCCAGTCATAAGAGAGACAGACTAACCACAGGCAGAAAAACAAGCGGCGCATATTAACCCAGTACAAAATAAATCAGAACTGGTTGGAAAGAACTAGTAGTTGGCTTCGAACAGTGCTTACACTTTGAGTAAAATAAATATAGGAAAAACGTTAACTTCCGTATAAGGACTTCATTTTGATCGTTCAGTTTGAATGGCAGCTATAAGCTATAGTGGGCCAATATGAACATTTTAATCGTTGTTGCTGTTGTTTCAGACCGTAATTTATGCCAAATTTCTTGAAGATATCTCCAATCGAAGAAGTGTTCTATCAATAAATCCATCGATTGATGCGATGTGTGAGAAGTGGCGCCGAGCTGACATGTGCGACAAATGTTCCCGAGATTACGTTCTCATCGGCATAATTTTTGAAGAAATATGGACCGATTATTCCATGCAGCCCTACTGCTAAGAGTTACTTTAAACTATCTAGTGAAGTTTACCCTTTTAGGTGCTATGCACCGATTGACAGGTGCTGAGTGTGCCAAGTAGGCCTTGCAGAGCAAGCACTTGATTCCGATCGTACCGTTTGTATGGTTCAGTTTCAGTAGTCCGATATCTTAGATTCCAATAAAAAAAAGACGAATGAACAAACAGAGTGAAGGACACGGTTAATTTGCTCAGATCGCTAGGCTGATGTTTCTGTCTGGATGTTAGAAACTTCGTGACAAACTTAATAGAAAGAACTAATGGAGTGCTGAAAAAGCTTTGCGTTTATAGCTTATTTGTCATTGTTGTTAGATGTATAGCTAGTTAAGTACGAGTTCTTATAATTTCCATACTCTTAGAAATGTAACCTCGACAACGGTCATGTTGTATTGGAAATGGATTAGGAGGAGCAGTCATAAGCCGGAAAGAGAAGGAGGCAAAACTGATGCTACAGGAGAAGAAGAGACTTGAAATTCGAGCAATTCAAAATATCAACTGCAGCTAAGCGACTTACATTTAGTCTTAACTAGCATATGAGGTATATTCAGATCAAAAATATGAGAGAAAAAGTGGCGTTAGGAATAAACTTTTAGTAGGGTTTTTTGTTTAGATTATATATCACATATTCTAACAACATTAGGGTCTCTAAACTTGCATCTGTTGATATATCGCTGGCTTACGAAAGCATATTAGGTAGTCCAAGACTTTAGTTTGACTTACGATTACTTGAAAAGCAGCTATAGATTCGACGTTTATAGCTTTGTACTTATATTTCTCTCTAACAGCATTTAGGGGGCGTGGTAATGGTGTGTTTTGTTTTTATATACTCGATATTATTTATAATTATTTCTTATATTTTTGTATCATCTTCTCTCCTTTTGTACAAATTCTTTACAGAATGGATTCGTAAACTGTGAAAAAGGAAGCTGTCCACCGATTGACGATTGCTATTTATTAGATCCCAAACCGCGTGACACATGTTGTAAAAAATGCAAAGGTGAGTGGGTTGCATAACTTTTAAATTAATTGTAAGGTTCCATGGAAACCAATGAATAATTTCGAGAATGTAGACATATAGCTGCTAACTGCTTTAGATGTCATTTTCTACCATTCCCTCTCATACATACATATAATGCGAGAACATTTCATTCATGATGCGTCAAACGGTGTACCTCATTACTAATGTTGAATCATATACTATATAACATAAAATATAACCACAAACTCATTAAAAATAAATTTAAGTAAGATAAAACTGTTTCTATTGTTGCCTGCTCTTTCAGGTTGTATATACCGTGGTATACCATACCCAAGTGGCTCTGAGTGGGCTGATCCCGAAGATCCTTGTAAGACTTACAAATGTGTGGCCAGTGTTGTCACCGAAACGACAATGAAATGCTTCAATCAGTGCGATGATGAACACGTCATACCGCCAAAACCCGGTGAATGTTGTCCGACGTGTCAAGGTAAGTGCTTAGAACAATATAAAATGACTATGGATGGTAATCCCGTGTAAATTAAGAAAATTGCGTCTACTTAATGGTGTCTAATTGTAGATAGTGTTGTCATAACTTGAAGCAGTTCTGTAATCGAACAGGGCACATATTAATCTATATTAATCTAAAAACTATTTCCTCGAAACTACAACAAAAACAAGAAACAAGAGAGCAAGAAATGTGCAGAAATCTAAAATAATTCAATTAACAGTTCACAGTATTTTCAGAAAAATTAATATTTGTGCCACCCGGTAGCTAATTTTTTTGAGGTATTTTATCTTAGAATATTTCGAAAGGATCCCAAAATGCTCTAAATGTCAGAATATTTTAGGTTGTATAAGAAGAAATTCGACTGATACGATCGGAGCAGATTTTGGAGCACCCTGTTGTCTACAGGGAAACATTAGTTCTGAAAAAATATCATAAGCTTACGATGGAATATTACTAATTATTTATGTATTTAAAATACTAATTGTTAAAAAAATGTATACGGGATTTCTTCTACACTTCGGGATTAGTCAGAAATGTTGAAATCATACGTTTTTTATTAAATTCCCAAAAATTAATTTTAATCCTTTTTTTAATAAATTCCATGAAAATAATTCGAATCCCGATATAAATCCCGAAAACTAAATAATATTTCGGGATTATAAATAATATTTTGGGATTCCCTCTACATTTCGGAATTAATTCTTTATTAATTTCTTAAAAATAATTTCAATCCCGTTATAAATCCCGAAATCTAAATAATATTTCGGTACTACCTCTACACTAGGGAGATGTACACTAAATTTGAAATCAGAAATATTTTTTATTTAATTCTCAAACAATAGTTTAAATCCCGAAATATAAATAATTATAAAACCTGAAATCTAAATAATATGTTTCAATACTATTTCGGGATTACCTCTACACTTCGGAAATAGAAAAAAGTTAATGTGCGAAATATTTTTTTTTTATTAAACTTTCAAAAAATAATGTGAACGCCGTTATTAATCCCGAAATCCATATAATATTTCGGGACTCTACACTTTTCGGGATTGCACAAAAATTGTTAAATCAGAAATATTTTTTTATTAAATTCTCAAAAAATATTTTGAATCACATAAAACTACCGAAATCTATAAAATATGTCGGGACTCTATACTTCGGATTATACAAGAATTTTGAAATCAAAAGTTTTTTTTTTTTTTCATTAAAATCCCAAAAAAAAAATTTGATTCCCATATTTCATGCTACCATATATACTAAACTAGTATGGCATTAAAAATAAGAAATATAGCGATGCTAAAGCTAATAACCGAAAACAAAATAGAAAAAATAACAATCGTACGTCATTCGCATAATCTGCAAAAGCATGACAGAATCACATTTAAAAAAAAATAAAGAAAAAAAATAAGAGAAAGAGAAAAAATAACAAAACATAAAAATTATAATAATAATGATTTCATATAGGATGGTATTGTATAGAAATCAAAGCAGCAGCGCACGAGCAAAAACAATAAATAAAAAAACAACAAAGTTCCTTCACACATCCCTCGCCCTCCCATATTGGCCCAAGCCTTGCGACATCATTCCAAAGCATTGGGTCAATATCCAAAAATAGTAAGCATCATATTCAATTTGATGGCATATTTAGCGCAATCACTTAAGTTGATTTCTCACTAATCTCTTGTCATAGTTGCGACATAATACAACAACAGCAATCACATCAACAAAAAGACAAAAACTGCCTCACTCGACTTTATAGCCATGTTCTATAAAAGCGGGGAATGTTGTTGACGCATAATACCACGCTGCTGTTGTTGTTATTGTTGTTGTTTTTATGAGTTTTTCTACTTTATTTTATGATTTGCCAATGACAATAATGTCATTAAATCATTTAAGCCACAATAAAACTTGATCGAAATTATTGTTTATGACAGAAGCACCGAATCACTAACTAATCGAATGAGTTGTGGTTTTTGTTGTTGACGCGTACAAATACAAATTATAATCGTGAAAATATATATAACCATACACACATACATATACACACTTGTTTATTTACTGTGCTGAAACATCTGGTTGATCGAGGTGAGACATTTTTGAGGTGGCAATGAGAAGAAAACATTTGCGATACTAGGATTGTTCGATAAGTCGGAGGACTTTAGATTGAGCAGCATATTTTTTTCCTGAAGTCAAATTGTTACTTCCTGAAACTTTATAGATCTATTAAGACACCTGGTTTCGCTTCCTTTTTACTTTATCCTTAGTTCTTTTCAAGTATGACCATATAAATATTAGCGGCATACGATCTACCTCTCTTACCACAAGACATGTTCTTTTTTCCAGCTGCTGAACTAAGAAGGGCTTTACTGAACTCTCTAAGTTACTTTAAGGCCTTCTCTTACAAAGAACAGAGACATTATTTTCTTTATATTTATATATAACAGAGGTACTCCGTAAGCCCTAGGTTTCATTCCGCTTTTCAACGAATATCCAAGTGTGATTTTTGTAATAATGATTGACTCATAGATTGAACAGGCACAAGTTCTCATGGAAATTCGTTGAATTTTTTTGCGCTTAACAATATCAATGTCGCCGTTCAGATCAAACAGCTCGTGCTTTCAACTTCTGCGATATTCATCGTTCAAGCGAATGGTTCCGAACACCTTGTGGAGAACAGTTCTTTCGAATGCCCGAAGTGATTTCTTATCTCGGTTCGTCTCCGTATATATTTCGGCGTCAAATAATAGGAGAGAGTTTTAGAGGTTAGAAAAGGCTCTGTTGTTAGGTTAGGTTAAACTGGTAGGCCAATAAGGCACACATAAACCAGTTTTGTTCCTTTGCGATACCAGATGGAGTTCAGTTCCTAGGTCCAAGAGAAGTGGTCCGTGAGGACTCTAGATGTTTTCAGCGTAGCCTTGCCAATGGGGGAAAAGTGCCGCCACAGTATTCTAATTATGTTCCTACAGACTCTTCTATCAAATGCCAAATAGAAATTTTGTGTACTTCCGATCTATCGCTTTGCAGTCTTGTACCCAAGTAGTTTGTTCCATGGGGTTTTGATTTTCTTTAACATGCTTCCGTCGAGATCGTCGTCTAAACAATGCATGGGTTTCTCAATGTTTATCACGTTTTCGTGTGTTAGCCGTACACCATTCTTGCCAATCTCGTCCACTATTTCATTGCCCTCGATGACTTTGTGGCCTGGTACCCAGTAGAAATGCAGTTGCTTACTTCTGGAAACACTTTCTACTTCTGCCCTGTTTCACAAGACACTTCTGGCTGATATGCGATACGAGGTTACTGTCTTGATTGCTACTTGGCTGTCTACGTAGATGTTGACTCTAGAATTGTCTGCAGGTGCAATAGAGACCAGCTCCGCTTCTATCGCAATAGAAAAGAGCTCAAATTGAAATATACTGCAGTAGTTCGTCAACTTAAAAGATTGCCTTATGGCCTAACTCTGGAAAGTATATTCTCGCACCAATTTCAACCTCTATTTTCGGCCCATCAGTAGAGGTTTAGAATGTTTCGCGAAGCTAACATACTACCTTTACGCTAGATATCATTTTCTATGTTTACTTTGAACCTTCTTTCCCGCCATTACCTACCGAGCTATGCCCGAAGGTTCTATATGTAAATTCTCCTACAGCCAGTAGTCATCCCGCCGATTTTGCTGTGCAGTTTTTAACGAAGAGTTCCATATGTTTCCTTGTTAAGACCTGTGATGGCAAACTCCTCCGCGTAGCCCAGAAATATTGTACTTTGAAATTAGGCAGTGCCATTGCGGATTAGATTTCCTGATCTGCTATCGATCGGCGTGGAGAGGTTCTTCCCGATTTTGACGGAGGTGATGATTATGCTCAAATGACTGACTTTTGCAGGAATTCCGAGGCTTTCGTGTTCCTTTCATTGGAAACCTCAGCAAATACATGACAAGATAAGTCTTTTAACGCGACTTGACTAAAATAACATAAATCCCAATTTGCATTAAAATAAAAGGAAAAAGGCTCGAAAACCTTTGTACATAAGATTTGTATCCGAAAAAAACTTTATATTAGCCGAATTTAGTTCACTCGCCAACGAAAATATGTGGTTCCAACCTTACTCTTAAACACTTCAAATGTTGAAGATACTTACAACCTTCTCTTCTCTCCACATCTATGTAATGAAAAACTTTCTCTTAATATGCAACTTTAGTTAAAGCTTAACTGCTTGATTTTACTTGAGAATTATTTTCTCTTACAGGTTGCAAGATCAACGGACAAGTGGTGGCCGAGGGTCAAGAGGTAGTCGGCTCGATAGACGATCGTTGTATGGTATGTCAATGTGCGCAAAACGAGCTCACATGCGCTAAGAAAACATGTCCCATACTCCAGTGCCCCATCTCAAAGCAAACGCAGAATCCCAATGAATGCTGTCCACGCTGTACCGAACAACGGGAATTCATGCCGGTGTATGGTAAGTAAGCGCTATGAATACCATAAAATATATAGTTATATATAGTTTAATGACTGAAGGAGCTGCCGTAATTTCGACTGAAAGCTTCAACAATATTTTACAAAATTTTCTTTTTCCTCACAAACTACTCCCCGACAGGCAAGTGCATTTTCAACAACAAGGTCTACTATGACAAGACGCAATTTATGCCCGATCGTTGCACCAACTGCACCTGCAGCAACGGCACCTCGATCTGTCAGCGCAACACCTGTCCCATACTGGAGTGCTCGCCCGAGTATCAGGAAATGGACGGTTGCTGCCCGCGTTGCATCAGCTCCGAGGTGCGCAACGAATGCATACACAAGGGTGTGACCTACATGAATAATGAAACGTGGAATTTAGGACCCTGCCGTTCATGTCGCTGCATTGCCGGACAAATACGTTGCTCAGAGATGCGTTGTCCGCCATTGAAATGTAACTCCAACGAAGTGAAGAAAACATTGCCGGGTGAGTGTTGTCCGCGCTGCATAGAGACGCCCGGTACATGCACCGTCTTCGGCGATCCACACTTCAAAACGTTCGATGGCAAATTCTTCAGCTTTCAGGGTTCATGCAAGTATCTGTTGACGGCCGACTGTCACGACAAGACATTCTCCATACGTTTGACGAACGATGGACGCGGCACGAAACGTTCGTCTTGGGCGAAAACGGTAACGCTGAAGATGCGCGGTATGCGCGTCACTTTGGGTCAGAAAATGCGCGTCAAAGTGAACGGTAGTCTTGTGATATTACCGTATAGCGGTGCAACCGGCACGCCGTTTGTCAACATCGAACGACTGGGCGAACACATAATGCTGCAAACCGATTTGGGTTTGAAACTCGAATGGGACGGCAACAATTTCCTACAAGTGACCGCAGCGACCGCCTACAAAAAGAAGTTATGCGGCCTGTGCGGCAATTACAATGGCATCGGACGTGATGATCTCAGCAGCCGTGATGGCAATAATCACACCGACAAAGAGGTATGGCGTTTTGCCAACTCCTGGAAGGAGGGCGGACCGAAAGCATGTTCGCGACGTGTGGAGAAGATATCGGCGCGTCCCAATTGCAAGGAGCGCAAAGCGAACGCCGCCTGTCGGTGGCTGCGCGAATCTGAAGTATTCGGTAACTGTGATAATAGACTAAATCCCAATAACTATTTTGACGCGTGCAAGATGGACGTGTGCGAGTGTCCCAATCGTATGTGTCATTGTGACAGTTTTGCGGCCTACGCGCACGAATGCCGACGCCTCGGTGTCGAAGTGTCGGAAGAGTGGCGCAAGCGCACCAAATGCCCGGCAGGTATGTGGCGCCGCAATGCAACCAAAATGGCGCTGCTGCAGCATCATCAACACATTAGCGACGACAGCGGCGGCGGCGGCGTCGTCGTCGTCGGAAGTGGTGTGCGCAGTGGCGTGCAAGCGCGTCGTCGCAAGCATCACCAACAGCAAAAGCAGCAGGCACAACAACAACTGGAACGGCAGCTGCAGCTGCACGTGCCGAAGAGTCTGCTGGCGCACAAGTCGCCGAATCGAACGCCGCCGCCGTTGCATTGAGGCGCGAGTGTGTCTACACATACATACATTCAACACAGAGCTACATTAGGCTATGAGTAATACACATACATAGGTATATACACACATACATGCATACAAATAAATTATGAATTTCATATTTAGCTAGAAAAAAGTGAAAGATTATTTATAAAACGAAGTAAGCGTAAAAGCATATTGCTTCTGCTCAGCTAATTTAAGCTTGTATATGTGTATGTGTGCGTTGATTTTTTTTTTTTTTTTTTTTTTGTGGAACTTAAGAAGTACCTACACTCTATTTGTACGTGTATTTGTAAAAGTAATGGAGGCATCACTGTTTTCTGTGCTGTTTTATACCACTTCGCTATTATTATTATTATCAATATACTTAATTATTACTCGATTAGTGCTTATTTAAACTTAGTTCTTTATATTCTATGTGTATTGTATATGTATTAGTAGCTCTTATGTGTGTTTATTTTATATTTTATTCTAAGTACTTTAGCGAAATTCGTCTACTTCAACCGTAACGGTTCCTAACTCACACACATGCACACACTAACAACCATACATATGTACATTTATTTGCATATACACCTCAAAACACTCATACTTGCACATACAAGCACCCATTTGCATGCAAAGGTTGGCATGCCCGTCTCACCTGCGAAATGAGTAGCGCAAATGGCACGCCTACGTCAAGCCAGTCACTGCAGCGCATTGTTGCCACTGAAACACCCATTTCTCCATAGAAGCCAAGCTCACAAATGTTCTTAAATTTGTTTTTTTTTTTTTTTAAATTACTACTTGCTAAAGTAGCAGCCATAAAATGCTTTTGTGACGTGCTTTAAGCACGATTTTCAAGTATTGACCCACAGTTTACAAAGAAATACTGTTACAATATTATTTTGTACTCTTTATTATTATAGAGATAAAATAATAATTGCAATTAAATAAAAATATGTTCGTCCATTTTTTTTTATTATAATTATTTTTTATTACTTTTCTGTATGCAGTTTTTTATTTTTTTATTGTGAATTTGAAATTATAATATTTTTAAATTTTTTAAACTTTATTTTTATTCTTTGTATTAAATGAATATTATGTTTTTTTTAACTTCAATTCATTTTTGCAAACAGGTAATTAGTTTTAACTCTTTCAAATAATTTGTTTTCAGCTTAAATTAGTTATCTTTAATTAAATTTGTTTTAATTAAATTTTAATTAATAATTGTGTTTTTTGTACATTCAATTATTTTTCCCACGTCATTTTGTACTCTATTTACTATTTTAGCTTTGTACTTGCAATTGATTCCCATATTTTCATTGTAGGTTTTTTTTCCATTTTTTTATAATTTTATAAATTTTATATAT